GTATTTAAGACTTCCACATAGAATCCTATCAGATTTGTTTAACTGATGCTTACTCATTTGTGGTAATGATCTTGAAGGTCTGGCTCCAGCAAATATTGTAAGATAGTCTTCTCAAAATAAATAAGAGACAGACAGACAGATAGATAAAATTCAACAAACAACAAACACTGGCCATCACACAGCAAGCAATCATAGGAAGGCCCTAACAGGGAAGGAAGATGGATTTGCTGGGTCCTTGAAATTCTCCCACTGGGGAGCAGAGCTCTCACTCTGGAACAACATGGCAGGAGAATGTAGTGCCAGCAGGATTGCTGACATACTGCTTCTCTCTTCTGCTTGTCTGAGCATATAAACAGATAAGCATCCATCCCCACCTACCCTCAACAAGCCTCAATGAGGTAAGATTCCTCCTCTCTCCCTACTCTCCTCCTTCTCTCTGATGTCAGCAGAGATTTATTAACAAGTGGTGTTCTGGTTGTCACCACAGTCCAGCTGAGACAAGGTGGTACAATTTGGTATTGCACTTGTACCAAAAAGGTGCGAGCAAGCTGGGTATGGTGACACACGTCTTTAATCCCGGCACTCAAGGCAGAGGCAGGCAGATCTCTGTGAGTTCAGTGCCAATCTGGTCTACAAAGAGAGCTCCAGGACAGCCACAGCTGGTTACACAGAGAAACCTTGTCTCAGGAAAACAAACAAAAAACAAATAAACAAAAAAAGTGCAAGCAAGTGCCAAGGTGAGGAGCTCTCCTTCACCCTACTTCTTCACAGAAAGAAGAGGCCCAGTGCAAAACTAAACACATACCCATGTGGCTCAAATGCCATACTTTATAAAGGGGCAATTGTGTCATAAAAATAATAATTTAAGCAACTGGAAGATGGCTCAGTAGTTAAGAGTACATATTAGTCTTGCAGAGGACCTGAGTTTGGCCCTCAGCACCTACTTTGGGCAGGTCACAACTGCCTATAACTCCAACTCCAGGGGATCTGATGCCCTCTTCTGGATTCCGTGAGCACCTGCATTCACTTGTCCATATTCTCACATACACAAATTTTTAAGTAATAATTATAAAATTGAAAAACAATTTGAAAGAATACAGAATTTCATAATATTCAAATGTCCCAAGTGAAAGTCGGAATTTACTCAACACCCTAAGAACCAGGAAAATACAACTTGAATGTGAAAAGACAATACATGTCAAAATTAACTCAATGCTAGAAATATCTGAAAAAAATTAAAATAGCCCTTTTGTTTGTTGTTTTTTTTTTTTGAAACATGGTTTCTCTGTGTAGCCCTAGCTGTCCCTCAAACTATGTAGAACAGGGTGGTCTTGAACTCAGAGAGATCTGCTTTCCTCTGCCTCCCAAGTGCCGGGATAAAAGGTGTGTGCCAAAACAGCCATATTTTTAATGAAATGCTTCAAGAAACAATTACCAATTCTTTTAAAAGTAACTTAAAAATTAGGAAAATCTTAGGGAAAAAATAGGAATGAAGGACTAATGCATGCCATGACATGGATGAAATTAAAAAAACCAGTGCAATTAAAATGAGCTATTTACCCACAAAACCCCAAAGATTATGTGTGACATGCCATTTATAGGAAAATCCTTCTATATTCCTATAGGAAGATATCTATAAAAACCAACATGTATTAATGGATTATATGATGCTAAAGATGAGGCAAAATTAAGGGTGACTGTCAGTATAGGCTTCTATTTGGAATAGTAAACATCTAAAGTTAAAACAGTTGTGATGTTTATTCAACTCCAAAAACATACCAAAATTCATAAGCACTTAGCATAAGTGAACCTTATGGCACATAAGCTGTGTGTCAGGAGACATGATTCTTCATTACCTGAATTTTGTTTTAAAAAGAAATCCTGAAACTTAAAAAAACAAAAACAAACAAAAAAAAAAAAAAAAAAACGCTGTACGTGAAAGAAAAGCTTGCTGGAGAGTTTCAACAGTGGAGCAGAAATGAGGACAGCGACTAGAGATAAACCAGAAGACAGAGCAGCAGTATTCACTCAGGAAAAACCAACATAGCTCCCATCAGAGTTCCAGAAAGACACAGAAAGAGAATGATTCTGAGAGCCAGTGACTGAATACCTCCTACATTTTCCAAGTGCTGAAAGGAAACAGTGACTGCCCCCGCCCCCCTCCCCTCAAGGCAGAGAGCTTACAGTCCTCTGCCTCAAGACACTAGAGTAGCTGGCCTTACAGGGCCCAGGTACAGCACCCAGGAGGACCCTACTACAGTTTAAACTTCTGTGAAAATGTCCATGAAGAATATTGAACAGTAACCTACAGAGAAGAGAAATCCTGCAAATATCAACAAAAACCTGCAGATACAATAAATAGACAACTCTCCAGAGCCAATAGTAAAAACAACAAAAAGCACCTTAAAATCAGACAGAATACAGGACCAGACATTTCCCTGAAGAAGACAACACAGGGGTGACATGCACATACAAAAATGTTCATTATGAGGATCATTAGCCACTGGAATGTACAAGATAAAATCACAGAACCACTGTGAGATATCATTAAACACCCACCAACATGGCTAACCTTAAAAATGTCGATAACTCTGACCTGTAGTAGATGCAGAGAAAAATGGATTGCCCATTTTGCCAGAAGCAATGTGTAACTGGAAGAATATGTGTGTACTCTTTTTTAAAAAAAAAACCAAGAATGTTTACCACTTGCAAGCTTGAAATTGCACTCAACATTTTCCTCAGAGATAAATTTTAGGTTCAAATACAAATCTGTACACAAATATTTGAAGACTGGCTTAGTTAGAGTTTCTATTGCTGCGACAACACACCATGACCAAAAAGTAAGTTGAGGAGGAAAGGGTTTATCTGGCTTACAGTTCCACATCTCTGTCATCACCAAAGGATGTCAGGACAGGAAGTCAAGCAGGGCAGGAATTTGGAAGCAGGAGCCGATGGCCATGGAAGGTGCTGCTTACTGGCTTGCTCCCAATGGCTTTCCAAGCCGGCGTTCTTACAGAACTCAGGAAACCAACCCAGGGATGGCACCACCCACCATAGGCTGGGCCCTCCCCCGTTGATCACTAATTGAGAAAATGCCTTACAGTTGGATCTCATGGAGGCATTTCCTCAACTGAGGCTCCTTCCTCTCTGATGACTCTAGCTTGTGTCAAGTAGACACACAAAACCAGCCAGTACATAGACTTAGTCACGATAGACAAAAGTAGAAACAATCCAAACGTCTTTCTCATCTTTTCAGTGGATAAATGGTTAAGTAAACTGGGGTATATTCACAACCCAGAATGCTACTCAACAATAAAACAGAACAAACTTCTCATATATTGAAGAAGATGGATGGTTCTCAAGTAAATGATCCCGAGAAAGAGACGAATTCTTAAAAACCATGCATACTTCATTCCCTTAATACACCATTATGAAAATGACAAAATGGCAGAGATGCCACACAGGATCGCAGTTTTTCAAGTACTGGGGGCCTGAGAAAAGGGAGATGGCTACGACAATGAAAGAGCAGCACATGGACTGTATCACAGCTGTTGTCAAATGACTCTTCTCATGATAAAGTTGTATGTAACGAGGGGCAGCTATGGTGGATGGCATGCCTGTAATCCCAACATTTGAGACTCAGACACAGAAAGACCACAAGTTCAAGACCAGCCTGGACTACACAGTGAGACCCTGTCTCACAAACTAAAAGTACATTAGTATATACTCACAGGCAAGTGGAAGTCCAGGTTTTGAATTCTGAATAAGATTAATGAGTTTATTAGTGCTCATCTGTGATATATCATAGCTATCCAAGGCATTTCTTGGTGGAGAAATTAGGTTAAAGGTATTTGTGGTCTCTATAACTTCTTACATATGCATGTAAATGTACTATTATCCCAGTACCAAAACACAAAGCCTCATACTTATTTCGGAAAAATATATCTGAAGTTACTATTCAATCAGACTCCTAACTTGATTTGGAAATTTCAACTCCAAAATCCTCAGCCAATTATTTATTATGCAGTGGCCATAATCACTGTGGTTTAGTAGTCAGAACAACCTGGATCCTCTTTTAAAGAACTTTCAATTAATGATAAGAAAATAGGTAATGAATGTCCAAACAGAGTCATTATATGCACAGTCCTATGAGTGATGGCAAGAATCCACTTAAAAGTCTAATACAAGAAAGTTTAAATCATTAAAAAAATACTATATTCCCATTAAAATGATTATGGATATTACTTTACAGAATAGAGGAATGCATGTAACACCAAAGAATGTTAAATTAAAAGTCATATATCTATTACGACTGTGACAATTAATGACAACATGTTTTATATGAATAAACTTTTATTGAATTTTAGGTAATTAGAAAGAATAAAGAAATGCAAGATAAATGCCTTCTAAACAGCATCTGATAGTTTCATCCTTTCTCTGGCATCGTATTTTCCACTTTTCTTTAGAAAGTATAGACATTCATTTATTTAAAGTTTTACAAAGTCAAGAACCCTCAAGTGGGGGGAAAAAGTAACACTACAGTAAATTTATCTTCTTATCAACATTGAAATGTTCACAACAATAAAGTTCTGAGTGTGGCCCTCTTGGAAAAATAGTATATGCAGCCACTGATGGTTTCCATTTACTCAAATAACTGAAGTCAGGAGGCCACTCCCTGTGAAGACTATGTCCACAGGGATAGAAGGCAAGAAGCATAGTGGAAGAGGGGCAGAGGGAACATAAGAAAAAACAAACAAACAAACAAACAAACAAACAAACCTATATTCTTTGAAAATTGTAGGCTTGGTAGTACAAACAATTTAAAAAACAATTCTTGGAAGAAATCACCATGAGTTGCCCTAAAGTGCAATTAAGGCAAGATAGTCACCAATACAAGTACAGCCAGATACACACAGCACAACAAAGAGCAGGGAGTCTGTAAATGAATCTGGTGAACTGCAAGGCCAGCCAAGCCAAGTAATTAGACAAAAAAAAAAAAAAAAAAAAAAAAAAAAAAAAGGGGGGGGGGAGTCTTTTTACATTGGTATGCAAAATGTGCTCAGGCAAAACTGCACACCCAAATTTTCCAAATGCTGAGCAGACCCCCAAGAGCACACTGGAAGATCCCCATCTGTCTAACCTTTATTATTCTTTTGGGGAAAAAAAATTCTTATGAAAGAAACAAAACAACTCCTCTGGCCCTTTTTGCAATAACCTACTAACCTCTACTTGTCAAACAAGAGGGAATTATCTTCCTCAGTACAAAAGGCATCTGGCACTGCCCTCATTAAAAGTGACCCATGTGACAGCAAGGTTGCCATACACAGCCCCTTCCGGCACCGCTAGCAAAGGCCCTCCCACCTGCCTCCACTTGGCTGGTTTTCAGCACAGCCTACCTTACTCCCTAAAAGGCTTCCATGATGGGCCTTCCGCTGAGTCACTGAGTACAATCACTGGACCAGGCGTTAAGTTCTTGCTTTTCTAGTCCACTGTCTCCCGAGTATTTAAAAAAAATAGTTTTCTTTTAAAAAAATATTTTTTCTTCAGGAAATCATGAACAGTAATTGCCATGGACCTGTAAGAGATCCCAGAGTAACACAGACAAGAATCTGTCAGTATAGCAAAATCCCAAGTATGAAGTTCATGGTTCAGGAAGAGGTAAATAAATAAGTGTGTGTGAGTGTGTGTTTGTGTGTGTGTGTGTGCGTGCAGGGTGTTCACAAAAAGTTTCCTCATCTTTTTCCCCATTTCTAGCTGACCTGTGTTCTGTACAATTATGCCTCTACGATAAGGAGCTAGCCGGGTTGGAATGTATCCATAGTACCATTAAGCCCTTACCATTATAAGGGCGTGGGAGAGGCAGCACATACCACGGGCTTGCTCCTGGGTTTTTTGTTTTGTTTTGTTTTTCTCTGAAGACACCTATTTTAAAAAATAATTTCAATATTTAAATTCCACCTGGCACTTTAAGTCTCCTGAAAATTATTAAGTTAGGCAAGAAGTAAAGAACCGGCCTACCTGGACCACGGTTTGGGTCGTGAGTGCTGTTCTGTTTCTAGCATTCTCCTTGGCTTGGCACATCTTTTGAGATACAGCATTTATTTGTTTATTGATTCATTCATTTCTTTTAGCTGAGTCTCAAGACAACTATAGTGGGAAAATAGTCTTTCTGAGTCTTCAGGACGGAATACGCCCAGGCCACTTCACACACTGCAGTGGCCAGGGAACAGCATCCCCTTCTTTGTACTTTTTACTAATGTAGCTGTAACAAAAGTCTACCTTTCCAGCACTCACCCGCCCCACTCTCCCCCTTGTCTGGAGGCATCCCATTCATTCTCTTCTGAACACAGCGTCCTCAATCACCCTAGACCAGGGACCCAGCCCGACTCTGGGCAGGCACCATGACAGGCACTGCGCCGATGCGCTCCAGGGTCATTTGGCTGATGGTGGCGGAATGTGTGTGCTGAGGCCAAGGCTTCCTGCTGACGGAACCGTTGTTGTTCCTGGGCATGACCTGGGGTGGTGACCCTCTGTTGGTTGTCACCACCAGAGTCTTGTGTGGGCCAGAGGCCAGATGGTTCCCATTTGCATAGATGGACGGGATGACAGCATTGCCAGAGAAAGGCTGGCCTAAGTCACTGAAGTGGTTGAATGACTCTGTGTTTCTATTCGTTTTGGGGTTGTTGCTCCAGTATCGGCTGTTGTAGGTATTGGAAGACGTCAATGTGTTATTTTCTGAGGAGGATATCTCTGTGTGAAATGCTTTGGCAGAGGAGCATTTAGGTGGAAGATCATCCTCTCTGAAATGAAACAAAGATATAAAGTTATACATATATATATACACACACAACATATATACACACACATATATAGTTAAACACCTGTTTTAACTATAAAGACAACTCGCGAGTAAATCCACCAAATTATTTGTCTTAAAACACCCAGGAAAGCAAGCTATGCACATTGGAGAATTGAAAAAGTCATTCATGGTGTCTAGACACTACTACCAGTGGGGCTGGAAAAGCCATTATGGTGTGCTGTCGAGAGAGCAGGTAGCTGAGAGGAAGACCAGAGAAGCAGGGAGGGGCCAAATCCTGAAAGGTCAGTACGCCTCGCTGAGAAGACATGATTCATTGGAGTATTTCAACAAGGATATGCATGCGTTGGGCCCTCAAATCCCAGGAGCTATTTTTCTTTAAAGACCATCTCAACATTTCTTTTCTTTAATACAGTTGTATTTTTTTTTAACTGCCTGGTAGGATTTTTGTGTCTTGGAATGTCCATTAAGGAATTAAGATTAAGTTTTGAAAACTGATCTCCACTGAGGGGCGTTTTGAGAGTGGAATGTATTGAGGGGCTGGAGGCCTGGCTAATTTGGAATAGATAAGGTCATCAGCGTAGCACACCATGACCCAATCCCAGCTGCTGCATAAGAAGAGAAAGATCAGGCAGATACACGCATTCCCTGTCTCTCACTGTGGGAGGCTATGTGCTGTATTGACTTTGGGACAGGAAGTCACCACCAGCTGCCAACCCTAGCCCTAGTGGCTCTGGAAGCATCAACCAAAAGTATTTTTACATAAAGTTTCTCAACCATGTTTGTAGTAGCCTTATTTGTAACATCCAGAAGCTGGAAACAACCCAGATGTCCCTCAGCTGAGGAATGGATACAGATATTGTGGTAAATTTACACAATGGAATATTACTCAGCCATTAAAAACAAAGAAATCATGAAATTTGTGGGATCTAGAAAAGATCATCCTGAGTGAGGTATCCCAAAAGCAGAAAGACACACATTGTACATACTCACTTATAAGTGGATATTAGACATATAATATAGGTTAATCATACTAAAATCTATATACCTAAGGAACCTAATCAAGGAGGAGGACCATGGGTAAGATGATCAATCTTCATTCAGAAAGGCAAATGAGATGAACATTGGAAGAGGGAGAAAACAGGGAACAGGACAGGAGCCTATCACAGAGGGCCTCTGAAAGACTCCACCCATCCATATCAAAACATATGCTGAGACTTATAGCCAAATTTTGGGCAGAGTGCAGGGAATTTTATGAAAGAAGGGAAAGATAGAAAGACCTGGAGGGGACAGGAACTCCACAAGGAGAGCAACAGAACCAAAAAATCTGGGCACAGGGTCTTTTCTGAAACTGATACTCCAAACAAGGACCATGAATGGCGATAACTTAGAACTCCTACACAGAAGTAGCCCAGGGCAGCTCAGTATCCAAGAGGGTTCCCCAATGATAGGACCAGGGACCATCTTTGACATGAACTCAGTGGCTGGCTCTTTGATCACCTCCACCTGAGGGGGGAGTAGTCTTGCCAGGCCACAGAGGAAGACAATGCAACCACTCCTGATGAGACCTGATAGGCTAGGGTCAGATGGAAGGGGAGGAGGACTTCCCCTATCAGTGGATTGGGGGAGGGGCATAGGAAAAGAAGAGGGAGGGAGAGTGGGATTGGGAAGGGACTGGGGGAAGGGGCTACAGCTAGGATACAAAGTGAATAAACTGTAATTCATAAGAAAATTTAAAAAAAGGATGCCTGGTGTATGTTATTATAGTGTTGAAAGTGACTGATAAACCCCTTCATACCAAGCCATGGTGCAGCGCATAGGTAGAAACTGTTGTGTTTGTGAGGTAATCCCCTTTGCTGCTTGCGCCCATCTATTATAATGGTCAACATAAAACGTGTTTTATGGGCTATTCTGGGGTGACAGTTACTATCTAGTGAGCTCCCACTTAGACTCATGAAGGATCTTTGTGAATAAAAGTGAGTATGCCCACGAGGAAAAGTGATATACATGAACAAGAAAATGGTGTCTGGACATTTTCGTTACCTTGACCATAAGAGTTATAAGACCGGCAAAGAAACCTTGACTCTGAAATGAAAAGAACAACACGCTGACTCTGTGAGATCCTTAATATGATAGACTAACCTGATTTCATTGGGAATCTCTTCCTCCTCCTCCTCTTTATTTTTGCTTCTCCAGTAGAAAAACGCCCCTGAAATTAGTGCGATGCAAACAATGATAAGAACTGCGCCTGTGCCGACAGCTCCAGCTATCACTCCAACGCTTCGGGGCTGGGCTGAAAAACATATGGAAGGTAGATTTAAAGAAAAGACAGAGGAACAGCCCCTGCCATGCAACTGTACACACACAAGTAAGTCTGCTTAGAATGTCCAAAACCACCCAAGGCATCCCATCCACATGAAGTTAGGCCTTCATTAACCTTTGACATTCCAAGGAGGCTTTTAGCAACTGTTGAATGAGTAAACCATCAAAACCCCGCAAGGCCCCAGAAGAGCAGCAGCTGGACTGAGGCAGGAGACAGTGCCAACTGAACTTGCCTTGGCGCCCCCAAGAGAGCCTTGGATCTCAGATGCTTTATGGCGTCACTCCAGTCACATGACTCCCTTCTACAAGCAGAATCAAAATAACCTAGATCCCCACACACACACACACACACACAAAAAAAAAGTGCTGTGCATTGCTTTTCTATAGCTGAGCAACCAGAAGCTACAAGGAATTAGGGGGAAACACACGTGTATTATGAGAATGCTACCATGCGTACAGATTTATGTTATATCCATAATAGTGTGACGTGAAGATTAGTTTCGTTCTGATTATCCTGAGAAGACACTTTGTCATAATGATTGTCCTGTCAAGAAGGCTTAAGTACTAAAACTTTTATAAAGTGTTTTCAGCAATGGTTAGAAGAATTTGTTTACTCTTCACACGCTCTCAGGACCATTATGTAGGACCCTGCACTTTATGACTTAACAAGAAAGACTTAGCCACATGTGCCTTGCGTTGGCCTTCTGTACTTACGTGAGATAACCTGGAGATCCAGGAGACAGGTGCTGGTCCCAATGGCATTAGAAGCCACACACTGGTACAGACCGGAAGACAGGGCACTGATATTCCGGATGGTGACTGTTCCCTGGACCTGGTCTGTCACAAAGACAATAATCAAGTGACAGCTTCATGGAACGAAGAAGGAAAACAAAGAAATCAGCACAAAGACGACATTATACACATACTGGAGAGTTGCCAAATTTTTTTCTTTTTCTTTTTTTTTGGGGGGGGATGGAGTGGGGGAAGAGGAATGTCTGGTTCACAAATGTTAAAGAAAATAATGATGGCATATTAAAGACACAGAAATAGCAAGGACTGTCCTAAATAAGGACAATCTTGAAACTCGAGGGAGTCTAGCAAATCATAACAGATGTTAGCAGCGTTCCCTGACCAGGGAGTTAACAGCTTGTCCTTGAGCGTTTATGATCAGAAGCATCATGTTGGAAATGCTAGGCAAATGCAATAACATGAAGGTCAGGCTAGACCCTACATGGTTTGCTTTGTACATGATGGAGAATGAACCAGGTCTGGGCTCTAAGTATCACACTGTTGGAAGTGGATGCGGAAGAGAGTCTGAAGAGGAGCCTCAGAACACATCACCATATCACAGAATTTCCCATTAACTATATGGAGCATCTCTGAGCCAAGGTCATCTAGTGAAGGCACACCATGCCCTGCAGGAAAGGTCCTGCATTAGTGGCCCATGTGCCCTTCACCCTCTAGGAGCAGCTCAGGGAAGTTTGGCTTTGATGCGAAGCAGCAATGGATCCAGAGTGGAAAAAGTCAGGGTAGCCAGTGATTGCTGCTCCCCATGGGAGGAAGTTTTGTTGTAGGCTTTATTTTCAAACCCACCACACTGGCATATTGAGAAAAGCTCTAACTGATAATACTTGGGCAACCCAACAGTACCAACCCAGCTTAGTCACTTATTCCTACATGATTAGATGAGTTACCAGGAGAACAAGAATATGTCAAGTACTGGATAAACTTTTTCAGATGGCTATTTTTCCAATGATCCTTTGAGATATATTTTTATTATTAGCCTACTGAACAGAGGCACTGAAATTCTAGATGGCTAATAAGAGTACACAGCTGGTTGCTAGAAACTGCAATTGCTCGGGTGGAATCTGTGCTCTGTGCCTCAGGAACTCCCTGCTGCTGGAAAGAAAACACATTGGTCATCAGAAACATCCAAAACAGTGCAAACTTAGAAGCCAATGGGAAAGGCTCTTAATGGCATGTGTGACATGTACCAGATACAAAGTCCAAGGATGCCTAAGCCTATCCTGGGAACTGTCTCCACCCTGGCTTGACTTTTATGCAGCACTACGGTTTAGTTATTTGCTGGTGGCTTTCATGTTTATCTACACCAAAGCCAGAAGCAGAAAGCTCGGCTTTATCAGTTCCTTCATTTAGGGCATAAACGTATGGAGACCCTCTCACTGTGCTGGCTAATCCAGAGAACAGTGCCAGGATGATCAACAGGACAGACCTTGATGAAGCAAGAAAGCAAGGAGTCTCAGTAAATGGGTTAATCAGTAGCCAGGCAGGGCTACAGACCAAGGGATGGACATCTAGTGAGCGTCTGGAACTTGAATAGAATACAGGTGAGGAGGGAACCACAGCCACAGCTTCCCATATCTCACTGCTGCCAGAGGTGTCTACCACAATGCAGTGGGTGTGTTCATGAATGGCAGAATCATCAAACACGAAGTAACATCAAATCGCAGGCCAGACAAAGGATAGAGACTTGCTGCTTGCCCTTTTCTACGGGAGTACTTAAAAGGTTGAATCCATCTCCCACAAATATCTTACATATCTATGAAAAGACAGTAACTTTGGATTGGTTTATATGTAACAAAATCAAGATATTTAATGGTTACTTGGTTTTCATGAATTATTTTTTCTGTGTGTGTGTGTGTGTGTGTGTGTGTAAGTGTGTATACACACATGAACAATGTCTGTAAAAACACGTGGCTCGGTGAGGCTGCCATGCCATGTTATAGCTTAGGCATAATCAGGTGATACATGAGACACATTGATAAAAAGGGATGAAGAAGAAACAAATCGGGTAAAGCTGAGCTAGGAGCGACCTCAGCAGCTCATGCCTATGACTCCAATTCCAGGGGATCTGACGCCATTTTGTGGCTTTGATGGGCACCTGGCCTCAAGTACACATACCCACACAGAGACACATAAAATAAAATCTTAGCAAGAATTAAAGAGGACATTATAAGCAGTTAATATTGTAATGGCCACTCTTAAGGAGAAAATTTGAACGCTGTGTGAGATTCTATACATTGGTCAGTAGGTCTGGTCTTTGCTCAGTAGACACATAAGTGAATTAAGTATCACTTTTATGTTGGTGTTGGCTGGGTTAAGCTGCTGGTGATTTTATTCATCTTGAATGCTAACCTTTCCCATTTCTTCCCTAGCCCATCACCTGCTTCAAGCCTTCTTCACTCCTCAAAGCCTCCCATTTATGACCCTTGCCACCTTTTCCGGCTACACGTCGCTGAATACGCACATGTCTGAGAGAACATCCAAACTCCTCAAATGTTACATAAATTCTCACAATCTGTGTGTGATGTTTTAAGTTATAACCTCTAGCATTCATTTTTTTAAGGAGTTGTAATAGTGAACATTACTTGGCTCTTATTTCTTTTTTGTTCCAGATTGTCTCTAGTAATAACGGCAGAGAGGTCACAAAAGATGGGGGAAGAAAAGCACCCACTTATTCAATAGCTTAAGTGTGTGAAAACATTTCTTCTTCCATAAGAACCATTTAAATACTCAGACTAGGTAAGGAAATAGTTGTGCTTCTTTTATCTAAAATAAAATTTTCAGGGACTTGTATGAAGAAAGTGGACAATCTTGTCTTTTTGTGGTTTTAGTGGAATTGCTTTGGATTTCTCTCCATCTAAATTGATGTTGGCCAGGAGCTTTCTGTAAGCTGCCTTTATTATGTTGAGGTATGTCCTTTGTATCTCTTAGGTCTCCAGGATTTTTATCAGGTGTTGGATTTTGTCAAAGGCCTAATGAGATGATCATGTGGTTTTTAATCTTTCAGTTTGTTTATATAGTGGATTACATTTATCAATTCACATATGTTGAACAATTCCTGCGTCTCTGGGGTGGAGCCTACTTGATCACGGTGAATGATCTTTTTGATGTGTTCTTGGATTCAGTTTGCATGTACTTTACTGAAATTTTTTACATCTACGATCATACGGGAAATTGATCTGTGTTGTCTGACTGTTTCCTTCAAAACTGAACAGATTCCTTCACTGCAAGGAAGCTCTTTAAAGAGAAAGATACACAACTCAAGATAGCTACAGGAAGTCCCTGAAACTTACTGGAATCACTAGGTCCCTCTTTGCCAGAGTAAAAAATAAAAGTTCAGAGTCCCTTTTAGGGGGAAGGGAGCCTAGATGCAAAGGAGACTGTCAGAGAAGAAAAGCTGCAAAGAGGACTCTGAGAGCAGCCTGGCTGCCTGGAAGAAGCAGAAACCAGCTGACCTACCTGGAAGGTGTTTAGTCCAATGAAGGCACCTGGAAAGCACACTTCTACCTGTTGGGCTGCCTACAGGCTGTGCAGTGTGCTCCAGGTTCCCGGGTTTAGGAGCTGTCACCGATGCTGAGGTGGACACGGTGATACAGCTGTCTGAGCCATCCTGCTCCTGTAAGTAACCCATCACCCGCATTCCTGAAAATAGCCCCAATAAACCAGTTGGTTCGTCAAGCTGGACTTCAGTAGTACCCTTTGTTCTGTTTGGGATCCCTATCTGGGGTGAGTACATGTGTATTTTGTCTCCCCAGAAAACGATTTGTCACACAAAAGTCTGTAATTCTCTTTGTTGAGTCTTTATGTGGTTTGGGTATTAGGATTAACTGTGGCCTTGTAAACCGAATCGGGCAATAATCTGTTTCTATTTTATGGAATAATTTTGCACAGTCTGGTAGAATTCTGCCCTAAAACCATCTGGACCTGGGCTTTTTCAATAGGGAGCTTTTTAAAAATTTATTTATTTATTCACTAATCCCCCTAATAGGGAGATTTTTAAGGACTGCTCCTATTTCATTATGGATTAGAGGTCTGTTTAAATTATGTGATTATGATTTAACTTTGGTTAGTGGTATGTACTGGAAAAAATTACTCCTTTTTATTTTATTATTTTTTTGTAGATTTTCTAAACTGGTGGACTACAGGTTATGAGTCTGTGGTCTTCCTCAGTGTATGTTGTTGATGACCCCCTTTTCATTTATGATTTTGTTAATTTGGGTTTCTCCCTTGTAATACAACAGTATCAGATTACAGTGATTTTTTTTAAGATCATCTCCTTTTTTAAGATTTTAAGATCAACCCTTCCAGCTGTGTGATTTCCAGCAAAGCTCTGCACAGTATTCAGTTACAAATGAAGGGGGTCAACCAAGTGGTTCTTAAAAATACAAGAAAAGATGGACAGCTTAGCTTTGGAAGCTGTTAACGACTGATAAATAAAATTATAATGCTTCATTTTCCAAAGGAAAGAATATCAGAAATGGTCATGGTTTGACCTAATTTAAAAGGGGGGGGGGCATATTTTAAGGTTCTCTAGGTTTCGGCTTTGTGAGGGTTTTTCTCCCTCTTCAAGTCAGGACCAAAGGACACAGTCCTAATTGTATCCCACAGATTTATTTTTACTGAGTTAAAGTTTTACTGAGCCCTGAGAAGAGCTGCTGTGTTCACTGAAGCCCTGGACTAGCAGGAAGCTGGATGGTTAGAGAATAGGTCACTCCTGAAATCAGCCACCCTGTGCAGGAGGAGACACCTCCTTCCTGGTGTGTCGACGTGTCATTCGAGTGACTTTCTGGCTGTACATTAGACATTTATTTAAAGCATCAATGCTAGATGCTACTGCAGGCCAGCTCAGTAAGAATATTTGGAGGAGGTCGTGGGAATTGACATGCAGTAAAGACTGATGGGTGATTTTTATGCATGGTAAGATACAGACCCTTATGCTAGAATATGTACTACAAGTTACAGTATCCGGCAACTTTTATATACATAATTTCAAAGTGTCTTACATTGGATTTAGAAGTCTGCCCGGCATGTTC